CTGGACTCGATGACCTCTCGAGGTCCCTTCCAGTCCTATGATTCTATGATTCTGTGACAAGCCAGCTGGCTTTCAGCTTAAACTGTAGAGCTCCCTTGTATTTATCTGTTTGTAAATGATCTAAGTGCCACCACATGGGACAGTGAACCACACAAGGGATGCTAAATATCGGTTAATTGAATAGTTGGTTTTTAACCCGATGAATTCTTATTGGTGAGTCGATTATTCTATAGTCCCCAAGGGTGGGGCAGGTAGCCAGTGCGCTTTAGCCCCACTACTGGGGAGCCCCTGGTTGTCTTGCGCTGCTGCCTCTCTATCAGAGGCAGCAACATGGGGTGCCAGGGAAGAGCTGGTCCACAAGGGAAGCCAGGTTAAAAAACAGCCCCCTGTGTGGACCAGCTGCCTACCACCCTGCTTTGCTGCCTCTGATACAGAGGCAGCAGAATGGGGTGACAGCAGCCCCTGTCCGGGTCAGGTGGTCTGAGCTCCCGGACCCAGAGCAAGCCAGAACTGAGCCGTGCTGCTGGCCAGCCTGCTAAAAAATTACTGGCGGGAAGTGAGGGGGGGGGAAATCATAGAATCATAGAATAATAGGACTGGAAGGGACCTCGAGAGGTCATCGAGTCCAGCCCCCCGCCCTCAAGGCAGGACCAAGCATGGGGACATAGCAAGTAGTTCTAGAAGAAAAGTCAGGAAGAGCAATAAAAGAGCACTGCTCAGGGCTACTCAACTTTTGAAGCTCCGGGGGCCACAATGATACTCACAGCACATGCCGAGGGCCGCAACTTAAATATGGTTGCATATACATTCAAATATATATATGCAAATAGCTTTTCACACTGATGGGCATGAATACAAAGATTAACGCAAGACTACACAACACATAGGAATTTCCACAGCACTGTTAATCAGCACTGACAGTCCAGGAATTTAACTACTAACACGCATCTCAACAGAAGATCATTATAATGGTGACTTCTTTGTTTCGGCTCCTGGCCATGTGTTGAGCCCCATGTAAACCCAAACTGCACCGTGGGCTGCAACCAAACGGGCTGCGGGCTGTATGTGGCCCGTGGGCCACATGTTGAGTAGCCCTGGACGACGCTATTACATCCCCAAACCACACTAGGGCTACACTGGCACCCTTTTCCGGAAACGCTTAAAACGGAAAAGTTTCCCGTTATAAGTATTTCCGGAAAAAGCGTGTCTACATTGGCAGGATGCTTTTCCGGAAAAGCACTTTTCCCGGAAAAGCGTCCGTGACTCAACTTTGGAAGCCCCAGAGGTACTCATAGTGCATGCCGAGGGCCGCAACTTAAGTGTGGTTGCAACTCATAGCGCATGCCGAGGGCCGCAACTTAAGTGTGGTTGCATAGACATGCAAATCTATGCAAATAGCTTCTCTCACACTGACGGGCATGAATACAAAGATTAAGGCAAGACGACACAACACGCCGGCCCCATTTCAGTCAGTTCTGCTGACATGAATAACATGCAATATTGACCCAATTTCCACAGCACTGTTAATCAGCACTGACAGTCCAGGAATTTAACTACTAACACGCATCTCAACAGAAGATCATTATAATGGCGACTTCTTTGTTTCGGCTCCTGGCCATGTGTTGAGCCCTATGTAAACCCAAACTGCACCGTGGGCTGTAACCAAACGGGCTGCGGGCTGTATGTGGCCCGTGGGCCACATGTTGAGTAGCCCTGGACGACGCTATTACATCCCCAAACCACACTAGGGCTACACTGGCACCCTTTTCCGGAAACGCTTAAAACAGAAAACTTTTCCGTTATAAGCATTTTCGGAAAAAGCGCGTCTACATTGGCAGGATGCTTTTCCGCAAAAGCACTTTTTACGGAAAAGCGTCCATGGCCAATCTAGACGCGCTTTTCCGCAAACAAGCCCCGATCGTCATTTTCGCGATCGGGGCTTTTTTGCGGAAAACACTACTGTGCTGTCTACACTGGCCCTTTTCCGGAACAGTTTTCCGGAAAAGGACTTTTGCCCGAATGGGAGCAGCATAGTTTTTCCGGAAAAACACTGATGATTTTACATTAGATCGTCAGTGCTTTTCCGGAAATTCAAGGGGCCAGTGTAGACAGCTGGCAAGTTATTCCGGAAAAGCGGCTGATTTTCCGGAATAAGTGGCCAGTGTTGACACAGCCTAGGTGTGTGGGCTTCTATGATTATTCTATATCTACACAGTGCCAACTATCGAAATAAATCGCTATCCCAACACGTCCATTACTCCACGTGGAGTGAGGTTTACAGGGACGTCAGAAAAGCCAGCCCATTCTGTTTCGAAATCACGGGCGCGCTTAGAAGACGCGGAATAGAACCCTGCTGTGTAGACGTAGCCTAGAAGGCTCCATGGAGACGGGAAAGTGACCTGGGGATCCTTCCCCTCAGTGGGGCGCCAACGCTAGGAGTGGGCTGAGGAGCAGGCTCACAGGGCTGGAGAGCACCAGGCCTTTCCTTTCGAGGGCTGCTAGCCTCTCACCCCACTGACGCTCACCTGTGAGGCTTGGCTTCTTGCCAGCAGCGAGGCCAAGGCGCTGCAGCGCTGGGCGAGGGGCATCTCCTCAATCCGGGAGGACCACAGTCTGATGTGGAAAACGTTTTGCTTTATGGGGTCGTAGCGGGGCCACACCTCTCCCCTGCTCTCTTCCTCTTGGAATGCCCTGGTGAGGAATTCCACACAACACAGAGGTTAATAGCTGGACTTGGAAAGGATGAGAACCTGCTCCTGCAGCCTAGCTTGAGGAGGTCCCGGGGAACCCGCTTGCAAAGTTTTCCAAAATGGCTGCCAACCCCTGTTCTTCCCAATGAAAGTGAAGCCAGAGGCTGCCCTCAGTGAACATGGCTGCTTCAACTTGCTCTCCTCATCTGGGTTGATGCTACAGGGTGCCCTTAAGAAAGATGGCAGCTATTTCCCATCAATCTTGACATTGAAGACACAGGGTGCCATGTATAGCTCTTTCCAAAGAGAGACTGCCAAGAGGAAAGATGGTCACTGTCTCCTGTTGTGTGGAATGGGACTGAAGCCAGGCTTCCCTCTGGGCATATGGATATTCTTCGTCTCCACTTACCCTGGGGTTGACATGCCAGAGATCGACTTCTCAGGGTTTGATTTTTCCATGCGTCTTTTTGCTTCCCTTATCAATATGCTACAATTCCTGATGTCTGGTTTATATTCATTAGTATCACCTTCCTCTCTCTTCTGTGGTTTGGAAATTATATTTGCTTTTGCTTTTTCACAGCTGTCTCCTTCACTTCTCTAATCTGGGAATGAATGGATCCAAACTGGGTTGTTAAGATGAAATCAGGAGGGCTGTGTCTACACTGGCCACTTATTCCGGAAAAGCAGCTGCTTTTCCAGAATAACTTGCCAGCTATCTATACTGGCTGCTTGCTTTTCCGGAAAAGCAATGACAATCTAATGTAAAATCGTCATTGTTTTTTCGGAAAAACTATGCTGCTCCCGTTCGGGCAAAAGTCCTTTTCCGGAAAAACTGTTCCGGAAAAGGGCCAGTGTAGACAGCACAGTAGTGTTTTCCGCAGAAAAGCCCCGATCGCAATAATGACGATCAGGGCTTTTTTCCGGAAAAGCGCGTCTAGATTGGCCACAGACGCTTTTCTGGAAAAAGTTCTTTTCCGGAAAAGCATCCTGCCATTGTAGACGCGCTTTTTCCGGAAATACTTATAACGGAAAACTGTTCCGCTTTAAGCATTTCCGGAAAAGGGTGCCAGTGTAGACGTAGCCCAAATGTATAATTTTAAGGATTTGTTTTGGAGTCCTGCTTGCTTAGTGTGGGTGCAGGGCAGTCTTTGTTAGTATTTACGGCCAGGGGTGAGCTTAAATGTTAAATTTCCTTGGTTATCAGAGAGGTGAAAGAAAAACTTCCCCAGATGTCTGACGCTGGGCTGTCCTAGACCCAAGGGTAGGTGTTATGTAGATGAAAATACATTTACTAACGTAGCTCCATTTTAGGGGAAAACTGATGTTCTGTCAATGCTGGAGCAACTCTGTTCATGCTGCCGGCTGCATCGACAGGTGTGTAGCCATACTCAGGGGCTATGTCTACACTGGCGGGTTCTTGCACAAGAACATCCTGCACAAGGGTTCTTGTGCAAGAACTCTTGTGCAAGAACACGTCCACACTGCCATGTGCTTTTGCGCAGGAGTGTCCATGGCCGTGTGGACGCTCTCTTGCACAAGAAAGCTCTGATGGCCATTTTAGCCATAGGGGCTTCTTGCGCAAGCAACCCCTGTTGCCTGTCCACACTGCCCTCTTGTGCAAGAGGGCTTACACACTTGTTAGAAAAGAGCATAGCTCTTGCACAAGAAGCCCTCTCTTCCCACGTTTACTGTACATCTTCTTGCTCAAGAGCAGGCAGGCAGTGTGGATGCTCTGTGGAAGAACGGCTGTTCTTGCGCAAGAACCCGCCAGTGTAGACATGGTCATATCGTCTTTCTAGCCCGGACACCCCTGACTTTGTGTGGCAGGCCTGGGAAACGCTGGGCAGAGTGTTGAGATCACTGGCCACTTGCTAAAATACGTGTTTCCTTGAAGAAAAGTGGGTGTTTGGGGGAGCAGCCTGATGAAAGAAGCAGGGAATTCTCCCTAACCTACAATCTGCGGGGGCTCGAATTTGATTTTTCTGATGGTAATTTGGCTCTGGGAGAGGGGCTTCAACCGAAAAGATGAGCTATTTTTCTTTGCCGCAGCATTGGGGCAGCTCTTCCTGCAAGTCGTGATCACCTGACTAAAAGGTGCCTGCGGCTCTCCTGATCTGGCTCTAGGGACAAGAGGATTCTGGGGGATTTCCTCACCCGCTCCTGGCAAACTCCGCGTTGTACTCGATCACCTTGCGGATGAACAATTCCAGCAATTCCTCCGCGTCCGTGTGCGTGCGGTTGGCGCCTTCCAGGAGCTCCAGTGTACCAAACTGGTAGGGCAACTCAGCGCGGTGAGGCACCCCGGTCCACTCAGGTGTAGAAAGATAGCTGGGGCGCTGGTCAAAGCAGTAGACGTACACAGGGTTGCCGGCCTCCGCCTCCTGCCTGGCCACCTCGGCCACCGGGCACACGATGAAGTAGTCGCCCAGGATTTGTTCCATGGCCCATCGGTACCGGGCCTCGCCCTGACTCGCCCCCTCTTGGCTGTACCGCTGTGCCACAGCCTGGAAGGCCTCTTCCCCGGGCGCCACCAGCCTCACCACCTGCAGCAGCTGCTCCAGGCCGACGTTGCTGGCGTTGTCCAGGTTGAGATCGGGGAAGTCAAAATGGAGTACGGAGGAGCCTTCGTTGGGGGTGAAGCCGGTGGCGATGGGCATTGGCTGTCTCTGTTTCACCTGCAGGAGTTGGGGAGGTGTATTCGTGAGGAAATCCCCGTCGGGTGTTGGCAGGAAGGGCAATCCCGCCAGATCCTTGAGGCTGAAGACCGCTCGCTTCTGTTTGCCACCCCCCTCTGCTTCCTTCCCCTGCAGGCAGCCCACCAGGGCCGTGTCATTGCTGTTGGCACAGCCCATCAGCTGGCCCAGCCTCCGGCCTCTCTCCTGGGCCTCCTGGAGTGAGGTCCAAGTGCCTGGAGAGGTGGGGGATCCGCTCTGCAGCACGGCGCGGGTGAAGAGAAACCGGCTCCCCGGGGACAGGAGATGGAATCCGACGGCCGACCCCCCTGTGCCCTGGCCAGAGAGCGCCCCCAGCCGGTAGTTCATGGAAACCACGATCATTTTCCCATAGGCAGCTAGGAAGCGCCCGTCGTGGATTTTGAGGGAGGCCGCGCCTACGTGGAACCCCCCGGGGTGGATCCAGACGAGGATGGGGGCAGGCACGGGGGGCCGCGGGTGGGGCACCCAGACATTAAGGAAGAGGCAGTCTTCGGACTGTGGCATTTTGGGTGTGAGCACTTTTCCTGCGGTGTAATCAGTAAATGAAGGCTGGGGGCAGGCGTGGCCGAAGCTGGTGGCTTCCAGGATGTCGCTCCAGGGCTGGTGGGGAAGCGGTTTCTGGAAGCGCAAGGGCCCCAGAGGGGGCTGGGCGTAGGGGACCCCCAGGAAGGCCGTCACTGAGCTGGAGCCGACTGGGAGACGCTTGCCCCGGATGGGGCCGCTGGTGGTGAGCACCACGGTGCCTTCCTCATCGGAGCTGAAGCAAGGGTCCGGCCGGGAGAGGAGGAAGAGGCAGGGGAACAGAGGGAGGAGTCCCAGCATCGCGGCAGCTGGAAGAGAAACAGCCCAGAACATGTTAGGATGCATCTACACTGCACCCCTTGCTCGAAATAAACTGCGCTTTTTTCAGAAAAGAGCAACAAAAATGATGAGGGGATTGGAACGGTTCCCATATAGACTCATAGACTCATAGACTTTAAGGTCAGAAGGGACCATTGTGAGCATCTAGTCTGACCCCCTGCACAGTGCAGGCCACAGAATCTCACCCACCCCTCCCAGAATAATCCTCTCACCTAGATCTCAGGGTATGTCTACACTACCCCCCTAGTTCGAACTAGGGGGGGTAATGTAGTCATACGGAGTTGCAAATGAAGCCCGGGATTTGAATTTCCCGGGCTTCATTTGCATAAAGCCGGCCGGCGCCATTTTTAAATGCCGGCTAGTTCGGACTGCGTGCCGCGCGGCTACACGCGGCACGAACTAGCTCATCTAGTCTGACCCCCTGCACAGTGCAGGCCACAGAATCTCGCCCACCCCTCTTAGAATAATCCTCTCACCTATGTCTCAGATATTGAAGCCTTCAAATACTTTGAAGACCCCAAGATGCAGAGAATCCTCCAGCTGTGATCTGCGCCCCATGCTACAGAGGAAGGCAAAAAACCTCCAGGGTCTCTGCCAATCTACCCTGGAGGAAAATTCCTTCCCGACCCCAAATATGGCGATCAGCTAAACCCTGAGCATGTGGGCAAGACTCACCAGCCAGACACCCAGAAAGTTCTCTATATTATATGAAGAGAGTTTAAAAAGACTTGGACATTTCAGCTTAGAAAAGAGGAGATTAAGGGGGGGAGATGACAGAGGTCTATAAAAACATGACTTTTGTGGAAAAAGCGGATAAGGAAGAGTGATTTACTTATTCCCAAAATAGAAGGACTAGGGAGCCACCAAATGAAATCAATAGGCAGCAGGTTTAAAACAAACAAAAGGAAGTTTTTCCTCACACAATGTACAGTCAACCTGTGGAACTCCTTGCCAGAGGATGGGGTGAAGACTAGAACTTTAGCAGGGTTCAACAAAGAGCTAGCTAGATTAAATTAAGGGAGATTGCCTATCTCCTAGAACTGGAAGGGACCTTGAAAGACCATCAGGCCCAGTCCCCTGCCTTCACAATAGGACCAAGTACCATCCCAGACAAATTTTTGCCCCAAATGGTCTCCATAAGGATTGAACTCACAACCCTGGGTTCAGCAAGCTATCCCTCCCCCATCACTAGTTACAGAAGTCAGAGTAAGAAGTCTTCCAGCTTGACAGTATTTTTGACAGTATTTCCGGTCTGGTAATCGGTGACAGGGGAGGGATTACATGAGGATTACCTGTTGTGTTCCCTCCCTCTGGGGCACCTGGTATTGGCCACTGTCGGCAGACAGGACACGGGGCTGGATGGACCGTTGGCCTGACTCAGTATGGCCGCTCTTAGGACCACAATTTGAGCCACGCGAATAGCGTAGTTTTTTCAAGTGCGTTTCAAAACATCTGAAATATCCCTTAGCCCTCATGGAATGAAGTTTACCAGGACATCAGAATAGCATGCCCGTTATTTCGAAAGAGCAGGTGTGCTTGAAATAACAGGTGTGCTTGCGAAGTCGCAGAATATGCTATTTTGGCACAAGGAGAGTATCCCGAAAGAGCGCTGCAACGTGGACGTACTCTGGTCGTCCTTAGACTCTACTCCCTATCCAGAGCTGGAGTCCTGGCTCCCCTCTGCTCTAACCACTAGACCTCGCTCCCTTTTCAAACCATCAACATTCAGAACAAGCGTTCAATGAAGAGTCCTAGAAGAAGGCCGGTTTGCCCCAGGACTGACTTTTCCGAAGAGGCCACCGCGCAGCATGTGACCAGCCCCTCCGCCCCAGGCTTGTGCTTTGCAGCCACAAAGGGACCTCCCCATCAGGCGGCAACAGCGTCCGTGTGGGGTGACACAAAGGCTGCTCCGCTTGAGGGAAAGGGAAAGGAGCGGGTTGAGAGGAAACGCGACTCCTGAGAGCACTGCCGAGGGACGGAGATGGGCTGCCACAGGGCTCGGACGGGGTGGAGGGTGGGGAGGAGACAGTGCTACAGGTTTGAGCTTATCCTGGGCTGGGTCCCAGCCAGACTCAGCTCCCCGCAGGGATCTCCCTCACGGACCACAAGGAGCCTGCGCACTTATCTGCCAAGGGCTCCAACCAACTCTGCAGCGTGGGGCAAAGCGTGGTGGGAAGTGGTTCCCCACGGCAACCCGAGAAGGCGGGAGCAGAGGCTCTGGAGCCATCGGGCCTCTCCTCAGGGCTGGAGCCAGGATCAGGGCCACGTGATGGCTGCCCTGTGGCAGCTGCCAGAGCTGGGCGGCAATGCAGTCGCTTCTGGGGCCCGGGCCACAGTTCACCCTAACCCTGGCCCGGCCACACCACAGCCCGGCTTCAGCTCCAGCAGCCGCCCGCCGTGGCAGGAGCCAGCCAGCCGCCCGCCACGTGCAAGGAAGGGGACAGTTGCTGCACAAGGAGATGGGCGGGAGTACGATTCTTTGTGTGCGCCTGCACGGGTGTGCACACTCGGGAACTTAGCCCAGAGGCTGCCAAAAGAGACATATTTGGTTCCCTCGCGAGCCAGAGGTTCCCGACCCTTGGATTCTCCTCTAGGGGGCGCCGTCTCCTATCTAGACCGAGGCTGAGTCTAGACTACACAGCTCTTCCGGAGAACTGCAATTTGCATCTCTTTTTCCGCATTTCGGAAGAGGCTTTTCCTATATTTGGCCCATCAATGCTGGGCCAGATGTGGGGACAAAAACCGCTTTTCAGAACCTCTCTTCTTCCTCGTATAACAAGGTGTACAGGGATGCCGAAAAAAGGCTTCTTCCCTTCCCAGACTCGTTCCTTGGAGCAGACTTTTGCCGGGATCACAGTGGTATCCTGGAAAAACTCTACAGTCTAGACATACCCCCGGACACTTAAATACACACAACAGAAGGGAGTTCTCTAAATCAACCTAGAACCTCATTAGCTAATAGAATCCCTGGTCTTTTCAGTTCATTCTCCAACTCCATGCTGAGTTTCCAGCCATCAACCATCAGAACATAGGAACGGTTTGGTGGGATACCAGAGGTATCCCGGAAAAACTCCGCTGCATCCAAGGAACGCGTTTGCTCGTCCACTTTTTTTTGCGGAGGGAGTGAACACAACAGGTAATCCTCATGTGATCCCTCTCCTGTCATCCATTTCCAGACAAACAGAGGCTCGGGACATCATCGCTGCCCATCCTGGTTAATAGCCGTTGATGGACCTAACCTCCATGGATGTATCTAGCACTTTTTTGAACCCTGCTAAAATCCTGGTCTTCATAGCATCCTCAACTCTGAGAAGGCAGTAGGGTCCAGTGACCATAGCGGGGGTAGGGGAGGTGAGAAGGCTGCACTCGTGGGTTTTCTCCCCTGCTCCCAGAGCGGGGTGTGTGGAAAGGGTACGAGATAGGTAATTATTTAGATGGGTCCCAATTCCTCCTGTTTTTCCAGTTATTCCCTTAGCCCCTCTGGACTTATCTCGGAAACGATAGAGCTCCGGGAAATACAGACTCACCTGCCTTTCTCCTCGGCGCCATCTGCAGTTCAGCACGATGGCGAATGGGGAGTGCTGGAGTCAACGCGGCACCTCCAATGCGGAGAACAACAGCCCGGGAGCCACCACTGGGGTTTATTAATCCTCCAAACTGTGTGCTCATTAGGCTGTGCTCACACAGGGGGAAGGATGTCCGGGTGGGACAGTGGTGGAGGAGTCATGGGGTTTGGAAAGAGACACCCACTGGGGTAAACAGTGTTCGAGTTCTGTGATTGTTGAGGTTCAGCTTCCTCTGCGTACCTGGTGCAGTAAAAAATAAAGAAAAAAAAATTACTGGGCAACACCACCACCTATTTTAGGGTATAAAATAGAAAAGCAATAATTTAGTACTAAATGTATTAATGTATTTTAGACCGATAATGATTCATTAGGTCTACTCTGCCGAGCACACTGTCTGAAAACAGGAAGGAATGGGTAAATGTACCATCAGTCAAGGTGCACCAGCCAAAATGTTTGCATCAAAAGCTGAAGGAATCCTTATGGGTTTGGTTGTACATTGCAAAATTCGCACTGTAAAATCAGTAAAAGGGGAGGATGATTGTTTTCTTTACATTGTCATTTAATGTGCTGGCGTAACGATTCACCTTGTGTCTGGATCACACACCAAAAATCAATCCTGTGTTTGTGTGTGAATCAATAAAAGAACGTGTAATAAAAGAACGTGTAATACAAAAGTAAGGGCAAAGGCCTGCGGGGACAGAGCGGGGCCAGCCGAGCCCCCCGGCTGGGATGCAGCCCACAGGCACAGAAGGAGTGTTTCTGTTGCCATGACAACAGCTCCTCCCCCAACTAAGCCCTCCCAGGCGCCTCCCTGGAGCAGTCATGCCTAGCAGTCGGAGCAGTGGCTGGCAGAGCCATGGGTCAGAACTGGGGCCCAGGAGTCCCAGAGCGGCCAAAAGGCAGGTCTCCCGGGCTCAGACTTGAAGGACAGAAGAGACCATCATGAACCTCCTGCAGCTTGCAGGCCCCAGAACCTCACCCAGCGCCTCCGGTCCCAGCCCCGCTCTCCCCGGCTGCCTTACCGACGCCCTCACGTCACGGCTGAGCGGTGTCACGCGATGGAGAATCCCCCATTGACCTTGCCCCACGCTGCAGAGGGAGGCAGCCTCGTCCACCCAGCCCCCATGGGCTCTGCCCATCTGACCCCTTAACAATCCCTTCCCGCCCCCAGACACAGGGTCCGTCAGAGCAGGGCCCCACGCTGCAGAGGGAGGCAGCCTCGTCCACCCAGCCCCCATGGGCTCTGCCCATCTGACCCCTTAACAATCCCTTCCCGCCCCCAGACACAGGGTCCGTCAGAGCAGCAGTGTCCTGGCCAGAGCCCCCAGCCACACGGCGGGGAAAGAGCCCCTGAGTCCAGGGTGTTCAGCCTTTTCTCCAAGGCTGCCCGTTCCCCACACTCAGTGCTAACCCGGCTGCTCAGCCCACGTCCACAGGTGGGTCTGCTAACACCAATGCGACTCCATGGCCTGGCACCCGGACGGGTCCCCTCGGTTAGAGGCAACAGGACCCAGAGGCCTAGTTGGGAGGTGAGTCCCCTCTCCCTCCAGAGAAACACGACCCAGTCCGTAGGTCAGTGCCTTCCATCGGAGCCATACGGCCTGCAGGCCTAGCTCAGAGGTGGGTCTCCAAACTTCCAGGGTGCTGGCTTGCTACGGGGGGTGGGCTAGCAGCATCCAGGCCCTCCCGCTCCAACCGCCTTCCCTGGCCGCGCCAGCTTGTCTCCCCTGGGCCTGGAGCTCTCTCCACATGTCCTCTTCCTTCTGCAGCCAGCCCCACTGGAATGGCTCCAGAGGCTTTTATAGAATCATAGAATCATAG